TGGAAGATATATATCAAATGGTAATATAAAGACTATAAGCTTCCCTCATTTATATGCAAGGTCGCTAAACATGGACATACGGGTAGAGGCAGCTATGAACAGGAAACACAATTATCGCAGCATAATTACTCTGAAGTAGAGCAATATTTGTACGTTGCAAATCAAAAAATGAAAGTAGGAGACTATATTGAAGTATATATTTAACAGAACTAAGGTCAGCACATTACAGCTGCCGATAATATCACCCTAAACCAGCCAAAGGTGCATCCCACAGGTAGATTTTTCCTGGAACAGGGGCTTCCATACTATGATTTAGGGAATCAGAAGATCTAAAAAAGAAAACGTTAAGTCATATAATGTCTAAAAGCGAGAGGGGGGGGACTAAAAGTAGTAACGCTTAAGTGCAAGGAGGTTGTTTAAACAACTTAAATTACCTTTTGCTGCTCTCAAGCAATTTTTGACCAGAATATATTTTCACAGGAGGTTGAGTCAAGCGCCTGCCATCACGAGACTCATATGAAATCTCAGACAACTTGTGATTAACTCCCTCTGGCAGATTGGCAATTGGCAGAGTGCGCTTGAACATAATATCTTTATAGCGTAAGGCATTGTTATACTCTCTCTACGGCAAAATTATTTCGAACGAGGATACCTGAAGTAAAAAATTCCTTACTCTTTGAACAAAATAGCAAGAGCGATCATAGGCCCTGGCCATGGCGAACTTAGCGCCTGACAGAACGAGAAATTTAAACGCTGAATTATATTTAGTTTACTACAATCTCTTTAACAACAATATATGCAATTTTTTAAAATTTAATTTTATAATTATTTTTAGAGAAGAGGATGAATTATTTAGCCGATTGCAATAATTTAATGGGTTATTACTATTAAACAGATTGGAAGAGGAGCTAGATAAATAATATTATAAAGAAGTCAGAATTCAATTTTGAAAGAGCTAAATCAAATAAATAAAATGACATTGATTGATTATCTAATGATTTAAACAAAGTCTCATTTCTTAGACCGATTTAGATCTTACAATATAGTTAATCGCTTTCTGTATTCGCTGCTAAC